AAGGCTTCGTTATTCCTAATCCCGCCTTTAAACCCGCAATTATAGATTCCTCTAATAATTTAGGAGTGGTGTTGTTCAACAATACCCTATATATGCACTCTTTTCCAAGTTATGCACACTAAATAGGCACAGCTAATTGAGGATCCTGTCAATTATCTACAACGAACTCGAAGTTGAACAAATAAAGATTAAACTAGCAATTTGTATTCACATAAACAAGAAGTTCATCACCCAATAGGTTCCATCAACGCCTTAGACAAGGAATTTAGCTACTCATGGCTGTGGGAAAATAAGCTAAGCTTGAATTCATCATAAAATCAAAAGAAAAGAAGAAAGATGTTTAGAGTATTTTCTCACAATCTTTTTCCATGCTAAGAAACCTAAAAAATAATACATGCCTCTCTTGGGCGAAGTCTAATATTTTAAATAGGGTTTAGGTCTAAAAATCCCGTAATTGACACTTTGGTCCCTGAAGTTTACTGCGCCTGCCGCGGTTCTGCCGCGGTCGCGGTAGAACCGCGGCCAAACACCCTCGCGGAATCTCAATCTTCTGCAGCTGCTTCCCACCGCGGTTCTGCCGCGGTCGAGGTGGAACCGCGGTGGATCCAGTTCTCTGAATCTTCGGCCTGTTTTTGCACGGGTCACTTAGAAAATTTCGCAGTTGGCCTCTTTTTCATCACTTTTGACTCCAAAACTGCTCCTTAGCCGTCCTTATACATATATCACCTACAAATCATGAAAAGCACTAATAAGAGCATTTTGTCATCACTTTTAGCATTAAAACTACACAAGAAGGTGATTATTTAAGGTGTGATTATTGTCAAATTCACCTATTATCATGTCTACTTGTTTTTCATTTTTTCTGTCCTGTGCGATTGATTAATTTAGGGATAAGTTAGTTAAATTAGTCCGTTTATTTTCTTTTCCTTTATTTGATTTTCATTTCAACAGTTTTGATTTTGGTCTTTCAAGAAATGTTTGGTTAGTCTACTAAAAATGGCCATTTGGCCAAGAATGAATTCAAATCGTGAAATCAGAAGGCCCAAGTGGGAAATGATTCGAATGGTTTTTTGAGCCCAGGGTTGGTTCAATCTAATGGGTCGACTTGACCCGTATTTGGTTGGAGAGGTAAATCACAGGGTCATTAAGGGGTAATTTGGGTAGTTTAACTTAGGGAATCTTTGGTTAACTGCCTAGGAAGCTTCCTAGAAGCTGAAAAGCAGGTTTACTTGGCAAGCAAGTCAATAATTTAGGGACCAAGTAGCAAAAATGAAAATTGAGAAAGGATTGAAAGACAAAAACTGAACCCTTAAGGCTGCCCTAATAGCTTGCCTATAGGCATTGTTACTTGAAGTTGAAATCAGATGTTAGAGGTTTTTGAGACTTCAGATATTTTTAGAGCAGATTTCAGAGATTTAGAAAAGAATTTAGAGGCTTTGAAGAGAAAAATCCAGAAAAATACAAACGGCAAAACCTTTTTTTACTGTTTCAATGAATTTCTTCAGTGATCTTTGAAATTTTTTTTCATTTCTGAAACAATTTGACTCATCTGAGTGTGGAAATGGATTGAATTTGGCCTTTTAAAGTCTGGGTTTCAAGCCATTGGGTGATCACTGTTGCATCTGTACTGTTGTGTTTTGCTGCTGTTGTTTACTGCTTTCTTCACCTCTTTTCCTCTCATTTCCAGGTATTCTTCAGCCCATTGGATGTCACTTGATGTGTTACTCAAAGCATGGTTTTGAAAAATGGAAGAAAAATGTGATGCTAATTTCTGAACTTCATCTCTTTTTCTTTCAGTTTCATGATTAGCATGTAATATTTGGATTCCGAATGGTGTATTTATCAAAGAATGGGTTGTAATTGAAATCTAGATCATGTTAGCTTAGTATATATTGTTTTCTTATGATTTTGTTATCAGATTCGGCAATCAGTGTTAGATTTTGCTTTGTGTGCTCATCTTTGTTCTTACCTTTGAATTCGTTTTTGTGCTAGAGGAGTAAATTATGAGTTTAGCTTCCTTGGTTTGCATGAGTTAGGATCTTAATATTTTCAATCATAAGTATAAGTGCCACATCTGTGTTAGTGCAGTCGAGAACAGTGGTTCATTTGGTTCAAATTTCTGATTTTAGCTTTGTCCAATTTTTAGGTTGAAATATAGATTCCTGTGTGAGTATCAAATAGCAGATGTTTCTCATGTTCTATCATTGTGATGCTATGCATGCTGTAGGTTGAGAGTGATAATGAATGCTAGATGACAAAAGGGGGCTATTGTCTGATTGTATTTTCGCATATAGACCAATTTTAAATATACTATGGCTTTTGTGAAAGGAGGGTCGGTATTTGCTTTGGATTTTCATGCAACAATGTGATTAACAATTTCAAATGCTTTGCGCTTTGTACCATGTGAGACTCGATCTTGAGTCTCTAACTCGCCGAAGCCGGTTTACTCCCTAATTTGGGCCCTCATTCAGGCCCAATGCGATTCTACTATGAATTTGTCAATCTGGGGTAGCCTTGCATTTCATAGGCTATTGAGCCTCATGTCTAGCCCAAATAACCTTCAAATAATCAGCCTTCTTTCTAGTTGTAATGTCATTTTTAGTTAGCTTTGGCAGCAACAGAATCCCAACCCCATTAATTTTAGGATAATTAAATTTCTTCAAATGGAACCGGAGGTGTGCCATATTGGACAATACAAATAGTTTATGGCCCTTCGACATTTAGCTTGAACTTCCTTTTAAAATTGGAATCGAGGTGCGCCGCACCAAATAAAATCTCAAATGAGGGTGGCCCTCATTTAATTATTTCTTTTACAATCCTTAGAACTCGAGGCGTGCCATTTAGCAAATTTTCCATGGCCCTCGCAAAGTTAAAAAAACGCGTAGTTGCTTTAGGCGCGCTATTTTAAAAATTACTTTCCTAAACTCGGGTGCGCATTTATGTGACCCAAATCCAAATCTCAACAATTTTAGATGAAATATGTCGAGAGCCGCGGGTGCATTTATGTGACGTGGTTCAAAACGTATTTTAAATGACGTTGCAATTTTTTTCTTAAAAAATAATTAAAAGCGGTTATAAAGTTAAAATTGAACCATAGGCTAAACATGTATTAAAATCAGATAATAGGCCAATTATGATAGTTTAAGCGACCGTGCTAGAACCACGGAATCCAGGGGTGCCTAGCACCTTCCCTCGGGTTAACAGAATTCCTTATTCAGAATTTTTGGTTCGCAGACTTCAAAAGGAAAGTCGAAATTTTCACTCGATTTGGGATTTAAAAATAAACCGGTGACTTGGGACACCAAACGAACCATCCCAATTGGCAACTCTGAAAAATAAATAAATAATCCCACTTCGAATAATGTCACTTAAATCGGAAAAACTCCCTTATAGAGTATCCTTCGGGGTGGTGTGTAAAAAAAGGAGGTGTGACAGACGTAATAAGTACAAAGTATGCAATGATCAAAATGACAAGTACAGCAGTACATAAGTGCTACAAAACCCCAAAACGTATCGTTACAAGTACATGAGAAATCTATGGAATACACAAAACTACTAAAACTACTGTCTGTAAGTAATAGACATGAATAATAAATAAGATGGAAGGAGACTCCGGTACTGCGGATCGTAACAAGGCAAGCAGCTCACCCCAAAGTCTCCGAAATGACCGGCTATGCGCCCGCGTGACCATTGGTGGAACCTGTCTTAGTACCTGCACATCAGTGCATAAGTGTAGCATGAGTACGAAGAACAACGCGTACCCAGTAAGTATTTAGTCTAACCTCGAAGAAGTAGTGACGAGGGGCCGACTTGACACTTACTAGAGGCCAATAATAATAATGAAAGTGCATAAAGTAGACATGGTGAACATACACCAAGTATCGATGAAACAAATAAAAACAACTACAATAAATACGATAGGAATCTGTAACACATCACCAATATCTCATAAGTGGCCGTGAAGACCCTAACTTAGTTATATCCAAACTGGAACTCGTTTTGATTATTTAGCACGAAGTGGCCGAGGCGAAGGATCCGATCCCATAAGAATAGGTTTACTTAGTACTACCGAGGCGAACGGCTCGATCCCATAAGCGTAGTATTACCATCATGTTGCTGAGGCGAACAGCCCGATCCCATAAGAGCTGTGTTACTATACTGCCGAGGCAAATGACCCGATCCCATTAGAGTAGAGATGTTTACCTCACTGGCAGAAGTACTTGCGACAGAGGACATGGATTTTTCATAGTCTTAAAGTATTCCTCCATTTCCAAAATAAAAAGGCTAAGTCGATACTTGGAAATCCCTAGTCTCAGTTCTATTCAAGACAATTAATATGCATAATAAACACAATAGTACAATTAAAGGCATGATGTGGATCTAAGTCTACCCGGACACCTAATAGAATATAACAACGCACGGACTCTCGTCACCTAGTACATACGAAGCTCCCCACACAAGTAATACACAACAAGATACATCTAAGGGAATGAGTTACCTCTTACAAGGTTAGGCAAGGGACTTACCTCGTTTCTAAGTTTACTTCCGGTCCACTAATCCACTCTAAAAGCCACAAATCAATGCTGAACAATCCGGAACTAGTCAAATATCGCATAATTTTAACAATATGTACTCAAAAGTTCATAATTTAGTTATTAGAGTAATTACCCAACCCAAATTGGAAGATTCTAAAAATTCGCCCCCGGGCCCACAAGCCCGGATTCCGAAAATTTTTGTAAATAAAAGTCACCTATAACCTCACGATTCCATACATGCATTTTGTTTAAAAGTATGAGTTCAAATCGACTCTCAATACTCAATTCTCATTTCTCAAAACATAGCTAAAGTTTCTTAAAATTTCACTATGATTCTCCTTTGATGTTAAATTCTATGTATAATCATGTAAAATTGTTGAAAATCGAACATAATCACTTACGCAAAGTTTGTAGATGAAAATCCCTCTTCAAAATTGCCCCCCACCGAGCCTAGGGTTCCAAAAATTAGAGAATGCCTCCAAAATCCCGTCTCCCAACCCTTTTACTAGGTGCAGATGTCGCACTTGCGGTACAGGGTTCGCAAAACGTGAACCCTCGCAATTGCGGCCAAGGTTCGCAATTGTGAACCAAGGCAAAATCCACAAACTTCGCAATTGTGATAAAATGTTCGTAATTGCGAACCAAGGCAAAAATCTACAGGCTTTGCAATTGCGGACAAATGTTCACAATTGCGAACCGACAAGCTTCACAATTGCGAACAAATTTTTGAAATTGCAAAAGATGTCAAAAATATACAATCTTCGCAATCACGATCAAATATTCGTAATTGCGATACCTGAGCACCAGCAATCTTTCCCGACAGGGAAATGGGCATAATTCTCTCGTATGACATCGAAATTCGATGATTCTTATTGCTATGACTCTGCAATTACGATACGGATCTAATGGTTCAGTCAAATCACAAATCAAAGGTTGTTTGCTCAATATAGTATCCTATATACCCAAGAAAACGACCCTGAAATATCAAATAAGAGCGCGACATAACGCAAACATGCCCAAAACGCCTCTGGACCCTCTCCAATCACACAAACCAGTCTAAAAACATAACACGAACTTGGTTGCGCGATCAAGACACAAAAATAACCTCTAGAATCACAAATCGGATGCCAAAACGCATAAATTCAATCATAAACTCAAGAATTTCCATAAACAGATCTGCGCGTCCGATTCCTATCAAATCAACTCAGAATGACGCCAAATTTTGCGTACAAATCATAAATGGCATAACGGACCTATTCCAACTTTTGGAGTCAAAATCCGACCCCAATATCAATAAAGTAAACTCCCGTTCAAACTTCTCAACCTTCCAAACCTTCAACTTTCTAACTTTCGTCAATTCAAGCCGAAACGACCTACGGACCTCGGAATCAACATCTTAACACGGTCCCAAGTCCAAAATCATCATATGAACCTATTGGAACCTTCAAATCTCGGTTCCGAGGTCGTTTACTTAAAATGTTGACTCATGTTAAACTTGGCCACCTTAAGCCACTATTAAGGAACTAACTGTTCTGATTTCAAACCGAACCCTTCCAAACCTGAACCAACCATCCCCACAAGTCATAAAATGTTAAAATCGCATATGGGTAGTCTTAATTAGGGAAAAAGGGATCTAGAAAGCAAAACGTCCGGTCGGGTCGTTACATTCTCCACCTCTTAAACAAACATTTGTCCTCGAACGAGTCTAGAATCATACTTGGAGTGCTGAATAAGTGCGGTTATCTGCTCCTCATGTCCTCCTCGGCCTCCCAAGTCGCTTCCTCGACTGGCTAACCCCTCCATTGGACCTTCACTACAGCAATTGTCTTGGACCTAAAATTGGCAAACTTGCCTGTTAATAATGGAACCTGGCTCCTCTTCATAACCCGAACTCTCATCTAGCAGAACATTGATGTAATCTAGCATGTGCGAGCTATCGGCGTGATACCTCTGGATCATAGAAACATGGAAGACTGGATGAACTCCCGATAGACTAGGAGGCAAAGCAAGCTTATAACCAACCTCCCAAACTCACTGCAACACCTCAAATGGGCAAATAAACTGTGGGTTCAGCTTGCCCTTCTTCCCGAACCTCATGATCCCCTTCACCAGTGAAACTTTGAAGAGAACCTTCTTGCCCACCATAAATGATAGATCATGCGCCTTCTGATCTGCATAACTCTTCTACCTAGACTGTGTTGTGCGAAGTCACTCCTGAATTAACTTTACCTTCTCCAAGGCATTCTTCACTAAATCAGTGCCATATAACTTAGCCTCGCCAGGCACAAACTATCCGATGGGCGAACGACATCGCCGACCATATAAAGCCTCAAATTTAGCCATCTCGATGCAGGATTGATTAACTGTTGTTGTAAGCAAACTCGGCCAAGGGCAAGAATCTATCCCACTGCCCTCCGAAGTCAATGACACATGCTCTGAGCATATCCTCCAAAATCTGAACTGTTCGTTCCGACTGCCCGTCGGTCTGCGGATGAAAAGTTGTGCTGAAGTCTACCGGGTAACCAGCTCGCTCTGCACTGCTCTCCAGAAGTACGAAGTGAACTGAAGGCTTCTATGTGAAATGATGGAAATAGGTACAACATGCAACCGAACAATCTCCTGAATGTAAATTTGGTCCAATTTCTCTAAAGAATACGTAGTCACAACCGGATAAAGTGTGCCGACTTGGTCAACCTATCGACAATTACCCAAATTGCATCAAACTTCATCAAAGTTCGTGGCAACCCAACTACAAAATTCATAGTAATGCGCTCCCATTTCCATTCAGGTATAACCATCTGCTGAAGTAGGCCATTTGGCCTCAGGTGCTCATACTTAACCTACTGGAAATTAAGGCACCTCTCTATGTACTCAACTATGTCCTTCTTCATCTGCCGCCACCAATAATGCTGCCTCAGGTCGCGATACATATTCGTAGCATCTGGATGAATAGAATACTGAAAATTGTGTGCCTCATCCAGAATCTTCTCCCTCAAGCCATCAACATTAGGAACATATAGGCTACCCTGGAGCCGTAAAACAACACCCTCACCGATGGTAACCTCCTTGGAACCACCCTCTAGTACCGTCTCTCTAAGAACCAATGGGTGCGAGCCTTGATCTGCTCAAGTAATGAAGACTGAGCCAATACGTACGTAAGAACTCCACTAGGCTTAGAAATATCAAACCTCACAAGTTTATTAGCCAAGGACTGAATGTCTAAAGCCAGTGGCCTCTCCTCTGCTGAAATGAATGCCAAACTCCCCATACTCTCAGCCTTACTACACAAGGCATCCGCAACCACATTCACCTTGCCCGGATGATAAAGTATGGTAATATCATAGTCCTTTAGTAACTCAAGCCACCTGTGCTGCCTCAAATTGAGATCCCTCTGCTTGAACAAATGCTGCAAGCTACGATGATCGGTGTAAACCTTACATGACATCCCATATAGGTAATGCCTCCAGATCTTAAGAGCATGAACTATCGCAGACAACTCCAAATTATGTACGGGGTAATTCTTCTCGTGGGGCTTCTACTGACGTGAAGCATATATAATAACTTGCCCCTCCTACATCAATACACAACCTAGGCCAACGGGTGAAACGTCGCAATATACAGCACACATCCCTGAACTGGAAGGCAGCTCTAACACCGATGTTGTAGTCAATGAGTTCTTGAACTTCTGAAAGCTTGCCTCACAATCATCAGACCATCCGAACGGAGCACCCTTCTGGGTCAATCTAGTCAAAGGTTCTGCAATAGATGAGAAGCCCTCCACAAATCGGCAATAATAACCTGCTAACCCCAAGAAGCTCCTGATCTTGGTCGCTATGGTAGGATGAGGACAACTCTGAACTTCCTCGATCTTCCTGGGATCTACCTTAATACCCTCGCTTGATACTACATGCCCTAAGAATGCCATAGAATCTAACTAAAACTCACTCTTGGAGAACTTAGCATATAGTTGCTGTTCCCGTAAGGTTTGAAGCACAACTCTCAAATGCTGCTCATGCTCCTCCATGCAACATGAGTAGATCAATATGTCATCAACATTGACAATGATAAAAGAAACAAGATATGGCCTGGACACTCCGTTCAGCAAATCCATAAATGCCGGTGGGGGCGTTAGTCAAGCCGAAGGACATCACCAAAAATTCATAGTGACAATATTTAGTCTGGAAGGCTGTCTTTGGAACATTTGAAGCACAAAACTTTAACTGATGATACCCCAATCTTAAGTCGATCTTAGAGAACACCCTGGCACCCTGCAACCGGTCAAAAAAATCATCAATACGTGGCAACAAGTACTTGTTCTTAATGGTAACTTTGTTCAACTAGAGGTAATCAATGCACATCCGCATAGTCACATCCCTCTTCTCCACGAATAACACTGGTGCATCCCGAGGTGACACACTCGGTCCGACAAACTCCTTCGCTAAAAACTCCTCAAGTTGTTCCTTCAACTCTTTCAGAGCCATGCGGTAAGGTGGAATAGAGATAGGCTGGGTAGATGGAGCCAAATCAATACAAAACTCGATGTCACGATATGGTGGCATACCTGGTAGATCAGAAGGAAACACATCAGAGAACTCCCGTACCACGGGCACTGAATCAATCATCGGAGTCTCTACATATGTGTCCCAAACATAAGCTAGAAAATCTGAACAATCTTTCTCGACTATGTGTCGAGCCTTCAGGAAAGAGATAACCCAACTAGATGCACTAACGGATGAACCCTTCCACTCCAATCTAGGCAACTCTGGTATCGCCAAGGTAACAGTCTTCGTATGGCAATCAAGGACATCATGATATGGAGACAACCAGTCCATGCAAGGGATGACCTCAAAGTCGATCATATCAAGCAACAGAAGATTCTCTCTAGTCTCATAACCACAGAAAGTCACAACACAAGTCCGATAAATCTGATCCACAATAATTGAATCTCCCACTTGCGTGGATACACATAAAGGAGTAAGCAAGGACTCACGAGGAACACCAAGAAAATGAGCAAACAGAGATGAAACATATGAATACGTAGACCCTAGATTAAATAGTATCGTAGCATCCCTACCGCAGACAGAAATAATGCCTATGATCACGACATCTTAGGCTACTGCATCTGGTCTGGATGGAAAGGCATACAACCTAGCTGGAGTGCCACCTGGCTGGCATCCACCTCTAGGACGGTCCCTACCTGCCCTCCGCCTCTAGGCGGCCTGATGACTGGTGCGGCAGCTGGTGCTGTAATCATGGGCCGATAGTCCTGGTGCTCAGCCTTGCCCCGAATTTTAGGACAAAACCTCTTCACGTGGCCAAGATCCCCGCACTCAAAACAACACCTCGGAACGCTAGACTACTTACCTGAAGTCTGACCCTGGTGGCCTGAATACCCACTGGAGGAACCCTGAATAGCTAGCGAGCGGTAAGTACTCTCTAGAATCGCACTGAAATAGGGTCGTGCTAGAGCACCCCGAGCAGGCGGTGGTGCTGATTGCATGGGCCTGCTGGGCTGACCCATCATGAATAGACCTTTTCCCCCAGGTAGGGCGCCATTGAATCCTCCAAATTGTCGGGGCCGCTTGTCCCTCAGCGGGAACTCTCCACTACCATTGCGAATACGCTTAGTTCTTCGAGCTATATCCATAACCTGAAGAAAAGAAGTCCCCATCTCTGCCTTTCGGGCCATAGGTACTTGAATCTCAAGGTGCAGACCTACAATGAACCTCCGCACCCTCTCTACATCTATGGGAAGTATAATGGATGCATGTGATGACCCAAAAGGTCATCTTATGCTTTAGAAATCGATTCTATGTTTCGAGGCCTTTAATATCTCATTTTTACCCTCCTCGATTTGCGTGTGCAGTCCGAGCATGTTTCAGGAAAGCTTTTATGTTGAAAGTTGATGAAAATAATAATTTTTGCCTTTAAAAGTTGATTTAGTTGACTTCGATCAACGTTTTGAGTAAAGGGACCCGGACTTGTGTTTTCACAGTCCCGGTGGCCCTATATCGAAATATTGGACCTAGGCATATGCCCGGAATCGAATTCGAGGTCCTTAGCTCGAGAAATGAATTTTTGATGAAAATTGACGTGATTCGTACGTCCGGTTGTGAAAATAGGAATTTCAAAGTGTTCTTGAGAATTTCATGTGATTTGGTGCTAAATTCGTAGTTCTAGGTGTTATTTTGGTGATTTGATCGCACGAGCAAGTTCGTATGGTGTTTTAGACTTGTGTGCATATTTGGTTTGGAGCCCCGAGGGCTCGGGTGAGTTTTTGATAGTCTACGAGAGGTTTGGACTTAGGAAAATCTAGTGTTTTTGGTTTCATCTGTCATCTGGTGTCTTCTTCTTCGCGTTCGCGAAGGGACTCTAGCGAATGCGAAGAGTAAATTGGCCTGTTGGAGACTTTCTTCTACGCGAACACGATGGACTGGTCGCAAACGCGGAGCGCCAGGGGAATTACCCTTCGCGAACGTGACTAGGCTATCGCGAACGCGAAACATTGGGACCTGGGGGAGGGGAAGTATACTCATCGCGAACGCGACACATGGCTCGCGAACGCGTAGGCTAGTGGGAATAAGTCTTCGTGAACATGAAGAGTATCTCGTGAACGCGTAGGCTAATAGAGTCATTGCTTCGCGATCGTGGTAGGCCCTTCACGAACGCGAAGAAGGCCTGCCCAGCGAATTAAAAACAGACCAGAATGGGAATTTCTTCAAAATTTCATATCTCTTTCAATAGAACTCGACCTAGGGCGATTTTTGAAGGGGGAATTCAACACCAAATCATAGGTTTGTACTCTTTAACTCATTTCCTTCAATTTCCATCATCACCCACTAGATTCCTAGTCCTAAACCTTGTTGTTTCATGGTAGAAATTAGGGATTTTTGGAAGAGTTGGAGGGTTTTAGCGAATTGGAGATTTAGACTTCGATTTAGGGTCGGATTCCGGAATTAATTACATACTCGGGCTTGGGGGTGAATGGGTGAATGGATTTTGGTCCGAACCTTGAGTTTTGACCAAGCGGGCCCGGGGTCGAGTTTTGACTATTTGGGGGAAGTGTTGGGAAACCTAAATTCATGTACTAAAATTGATTTCTTTAGCAATATTTGATGTTATTAAGTTAATTGTGGCTAGATACGAGTGGTTTAGAGGTGGATACTAGAGGAAAAGCGGTAATTGAGCATTAAGTGGCCCGCAGAGCGAGATAAAGTGTTGTGTCTAACCTTGGCTTGAGGGATTAGGTATTGTTGCCTATTTGCTACGTGTTTGATTGTTGAGTACAACGTATAGGTGAGGTGACGAGTACCTATGCGTTGTTGTCGAGTCATAGTATGCGAGTGAGTCTTATTCTTATAATCGTTGTATTCTTTATTCATATTGTTCATGCTTAGACTAGTTATTCTTTATGTTGAGCAACTCTTATCATGTTTTACAGAATTTGATATTGATTGAGTATTGACTCAAAGTTGAGGTTGACGTTGTAGAACTATATGTTGAAGTGAGACTTGTTATTGATAATTCTATCTCCCTGTTGTTATTGTTCTTTGTTTTGGTGAGGAGGAGTGTAAAACACAAAGGGTAATGTCGTGCCATTTTATATTCATCATCATGTGAGGAAGAGTGTAAAGCACGAAGGGTGATGCCGTGCTATTTCATATTCATTATCATGTGAGGAAGAGTGTAAAGCTCGAAGGCTAATGCCGTGCCATTCTATATTCATTATCATCATTTCTTTCATTTATTATGGTGAGGATGAGAGTAAAAGAACGAAGGGTGATACTGTGCACTTGTTTTTGCTATGTTCAATATTTCCATTGGTGCAAAGCATGTTGTTTCCTGTGTTTCTTTACTGTTACCATTTTCATGATCTTGTACTCCCCTCAACATGTCTCCCCCCTCCCATTATTTTCTATTTAGCTTCTATTAGTTGTTATTGTGCTCGTATACTGTTTAACTGCACAGGTTTATGTATGTGTCTTGTCCTAGCCTTGTCACTACTTCGCTGAGGTTATGCTCGGCACTTACCAGTGCATGTGGTCGGTTGTACTGATACTGCACTCTGCACTTTCTGTGCAGATTTCGGTACCGATCCGAGCTGATCCTGAGTTTAGCTGCTGGCTTCATCTAATCGGAAACTCAAGGTAGACCTGTTGGCGTCCGCAGGCCCCGACGTCCCCTTCCATACATTCACTTTACTATTTCTTTTGTATCGAAAACTGTTGTATTTCCTTCATACATTTGTTGTAGTTAAATCTTAGAAGTTCGTGGATTGTGACTCCAGATTCTGGGTAGCTTTATATATTAAGATTGTTATGTATTTTCGCACTCTTTTCAACTTGTTAGCGTTTAATTATTGTTAATCACTGAAAGGCTTAAGAATTGGTTTAATGATCTCTAACGTTGGCTTGCCTTGCAAGTGAAATTTTAGGCGCCATCATGGTTCCGATGGTGGGAATTCCGGGTCGTGACAATGCATGGCGAGACAAGTCAGTGAATCTCGCCTAATAGTCGGCGACAGACATGTGACCATGACGGAGTCGCTCAAACTGACCTCGAAGCTCCTCTCTCTCTAAAGGTGTTATATACTTCTCCAAGAACAGATGTGTAAACTGATCCCAAGTCAAGAGAGGTGAACTTGCAGGCCTGCTAAGAAGATAAGCCTGCCACAATCTACGGGCCTTGCCCTCAAAATGAAAAGTGGTGAAGTCCAGCTCGTTGGACTCTTATATCCCCATGTTCCGGAGTCAACCGTTGCACCGGTCAATGAAATCATGGGGGTCCTCTGACCGCTCACCCCCAAAAGTAGGGGGCAAAGCCTAGTCCATCTCTCCAGCCACTTCTGCTGATCATCAGTCGAAAAATATCTCGCACCTGCGCTCCTCCCAGCTCTAGCCAAATTCCGCTCCAGCAAACCATCACTCGCAGAAGCGCATCCACTTATGCGGAATACTTTGCGCATGTGCGACCATTCCCCATGCCAAGCCAACCTCCCATCTGTGCAGAAGAGGTCGCACCTGCGGCCAATCCCACCGCATGTTCAAAAACACCAAAAGATAGATTTCCTTCAACAATTCCTCTAAGTCCAAAATGAGTCCGAACTCAATCTGAATTACATCCGAGTCCCCCGGGGCCCCATCCATCCATACAGCCGAGTCCTAAAGCACAACACGAACTTACTTGGAGCCTCAAATCACAGCAAACAACATCAAAACCACGAATCGCACCTCAATTCAAGCCTAATGAAACTAATAAACTTCCAACTTCTAAAACTTATGTCGAACCACATCAAATCAACTCCGAATGATCTCAAATTTTGCACATTAGTCCTAAATGAAACAACAGGCCTATCAAACTCCCGAAACCAAAAATCGAACCTAATATCAACAAAGTCAACTCCCGGTCAAACCCCTCAGCCTTCTAAACCTTCGACTTTCCAACTTTCACCAAAAAGCATAAAATCAACCTACGAACCTCCAAATCCACATCCGGCCATACGCCTAAGTCAAAAATCACCATACAAAGCTATTGGAATCATCAAAATACCATTGCTGAGTTGTCTATACAAAAGTCAAACTCCGATCAACTCTTCCAACTTAAGCTTCCAACTTTAGGACTAAGCCTCCCAATTCACTACGAAACTTCCTTGAAAACGATCTAACCACCCTGGCAAGACACATAACCACAAATGAACATAGAAGAGGCAATAAATAGGGAAACGAGGCTACAATATACAAAACGACCGACCATATCGTTAAAAATTCGTACATAGTGGTGTGATTAATATCTCTCTCGCTTTTGTTTAATTTATTTTATGCCACTGTCGAATGGTGATATTGATCTCTCGTATGATCATATTTAATGTTCTATTGGTTCATTGCCTTTTATTAAACAATAAAAATATCTAGAGCGTTCTACCCGAGTTCTATACAAGTAAGTATGTTATCACGTTCTAACTTATACTAACGACTCTTACCTGACGTTTTTTTCTTTCTGGAGCTTACGATTTTCATCCCTTATTTTTGATGTTGCTAATTTTATAGTACTAGCTTCCCCATCCTCGTGTAATTAGACCCTTACTCTGACAAAATCAGAAAATATATTTCTTCTTTTTATTAGTATGTGATGATGTCAGTAGTGGTTGGTTGATTATGACCAAGTCCAAATCAAAAACTGAAGTATGTATAACAGCCAAATCTCTGTATTTGTACGTTTCCCAATTTAGCCACATGAATAATGATTTCGTGTTCCATATAAAAAGTTTTCTTACGCTTTGCAAAATTTGTTTGAGGCAAAAAAAGAAGTTTGTTTTGTTACTTTCTGGAGAACTTTCCCAATTTTTAGAACAAGCCAACCGCAATGCTTCAACAGCTAGGGCTGCTTAGCGGGATTGGACGGATATTTACGCTTAACGGTTCGGTTTATCGGTTATCGACTTATAAATGTATTAATCCGTTTGTCATCCGATAAGATATAGGGCAGATTGGTATTGAATTAGTGATTATCGGATAATTTATCGGCTAAATCAAATATACAATAAAAATTATATAATTAAGCAAGGAAGTAAACAATATAGCTAAACAATACACTCACAATCCACACCCAATAGGCTAATGATGCTCTCATTGTTAATGACAGTTTCTTCTTCTTTAATTCTTTTAATAAGTA